CCTTGTTAAACTTCATATGGTTGGTGATTGCCCAGCTCTCTGATTTGTCTAGGTCTCTCTGCAGGGCCTCTCTGTCCTTGAGAGTGTCAACAGCTCCTCCCAATTTTGTGTCATTGCCAAACTTTGATAACAAACCTTCAAGTCCTGCATCCAAGTAATTTATGAAGACATTAAAGAGCACTGGCCCCAAGATGGATCCCTGCGGAACCCTGCTAGTGACTGGTCGCCAGCCCGATGTAACCCCATTTACTATAACCCTTTGAGGCCGACCCGTCAGCCAATTGCTCACCCCTTGCATTATGTGTTTATCCAGCTGTATGCTGGACATTTTGTCCAGGAGGATTAAAATAGAGACAAGATATGAAAGAATCACCAGACTGACTGTGGCCCTAACATTCTCAGCATGGCTTTTCCTAATTCTTAAAATCACAACTGTGTTGAGTGCAGAAATACCAAGTAAATAGAGTCCACCAGAATTCTCATGTACTTCAATACTGGCAAAATATCATGAGGTTTAGGATATTCTGACTAGTCACTTCAGCACATCGATGCTGCTGTACAGTTTCTCTTGATTCCTTTTTCAATTTTCTGTTCTTACTCAACACTCTATACACAGGAACACTTGCAGTATAAAGCCTATAAATATTCTGAAACACAGTTCAAACTTTGTTTGGTAAGGATGTAAATTTAAGTTACTGAAAACAGGAAGATCAAAGAGAGAGATACACAGAGAGAGCACCTGAAACTGAATCAAAACACTTTTGATTGAATGGCTGACTTATGGTACCAGTTTACTGTTCAGGCTCCTGGGAGATCTATCAGGTTCTCTCTCTCTCCTGCTATTTCCCATTATTCATATAAATTATCCTCCCTATAATATCCTTTACTCTGTGACAGAATTGTTGGAGTTTCAAACTACCAGGTACCAAAGAACTAGGGATGACAACAATGCAGAAGGAACTAAGTGAGATCTTGTATCAGTCCTCACTGCAAAGAAATTAAGGAAGATAGTTAACTGCGGGGCATCAAGAGGCATTTCCAGAGATTGGCAATAAAATTTTCCATAGGCATAGTAGAATTCTACATGAGGAGAGACTGAGAAAATTAGAGAATCTAGACACAAATCTAATTAAGCATATACTTAGAGAGGAAACACAGTAGAGACATAAAACAAGAACTGCTATACATTGTGTAAGTTGAAAGCATTTTATTTCTCTCTCAAAACCAACAAGATAGCAAGTCAACCAGATGAAAATAGTATCCCATCAAATTCAATTGTTTTCCAGATGCCAGCAATTTCGAAATTCTAGATTTATATCATATAAAACACAGCAGGAAATTATTTCCTTTCAGTCAGCAGCAGTAATGTCCCAGGTTGAATATGTGCCAATTTTAGGGCCTGCACTTAAGAAATACACAGATCAAATAGTCAGAAATGACGTAGATTTTCTCCATGGAAAAAAATTAGGTTGAGCTTCAGTAAAATACTTTTCAAATATTAGAACAGTGGAACAAGATAACTAGGAAGCTTGTAAATATTACTTCATTGGAAGCTTTTAAGAACAGGTTAGCCAAATATCTATTGGCATGGTGTAGATGGGGTTTTTTTCTGTCTCACAACAAAGCAGGCAAAACTGTTTATATGCTTTCTAGAAGCACTCTCCAGCCTTCTGTTTCCATGACTTTATATACTGAAATGATAAAATATCATATCAACAATTAAAGAAAATTAATCTATTCCAACAATACAGCTTTCCAGAGATTTGATCCAGAATAGTTTGGATAAAATCCTAAAAATGGAAATAATGTAACCACCGTGATTATTTTTTTTTTACTTCTACTACAAGAATATACTTCTAAAGTTACCTGTTTTGTTAACAACATCCTGTAATTCAGTGACAGAACTGATTATTGCAGCAAGGAGGTTAGAACTAGTAAACCAGCTGAGTGCTTCAACATAGTGAATTTGTTCCTCTTCGTGACCTGTGAAACAGAATTGTAGCTAGCAATAAAACTAAATAACTTAGATGAGGCACACTACTATCTCCAGCTCTTTCAGAAATTGACCAAAAGAAAGCATATAAGCCACAAACTAATTCTTATCTCAGGACCATTTAGACTGTATTAAATATTCCAGAATTCCAGAATTACTAAAACAGAAAAGCAGATGGATCTTCTAGTTTGGGAAACATTTTTTTTATACCATTTGTCCTTGTAAGGGGAAGCACAAGCCAGTCTGGTATCAGAAAAGGACAGGAAGACTACATAATCTCTAAGGAAAAAATTAGCAATCCTATCCAATATTTTACCTGAATCAGAAAGCAACTTTTTGCTTTTTTAGTAGGAAATAAATATTGAAAGTGATCAACAAGAGATGAGGAAATATCTTTTCAAAAAATAAGTTGATGGTCAATCGTTTAGGAACATGACAAGATAAGAGTTCTGAAATCCATAACACAAATGTCAACGATATCAAACAGCATGAGTTTACGTGTGTAGTTGTAACTTTTCTTTCAATGCTTAAGAGACTAAGTATTTCCTTTTAGGGGAAATTACGTTTGTCAAGAAATCCAGAAATCACAAATCCAGAAACTACATTTGTCAAAATGTCACTAAATTTGTCTTCACACTCTATTAATAATAACATTATTATTTGTTATTCACTAACCATGTAATTTGACATAACACTTATCAAAGAAGAAAACAATTAACTTACTTGACAGATTACGCTTGCCTTTGGAGTCTCCTATACAAACTAGAATTCCAATGCCTTCTTTGAAGCCATTTACCCAGGAGAAGAGGGAACTAGAAGACCGGGCTAAAACTTTAAGTCTGTTAGCTGCCAAAACTGCAATCACACCTCTTCGGAATACAAGAATCAGGCCCCTGAATTTTCTTTTCTTCAGTTTTGCTTCATCTTGATTGTTTTCCTCTACATCAAAGAGAGCATGAACTAGGGTCCTAATCTCCTGGTTCACTAATTCATAAATGTTGACCTGATCCTGGAGAAGGTCTCTTTGGGAAGACATAGCACACGACCGGCCATAGAGAGGATACAGGGCACCTGCCAACACGGGCCCCCTGCCAATAGTGCACAGGCTGCCAGGAGACATGAATGCTCCTTCTGAACCTGTGTTAATGTATTTTTCACAGAAACATTTTCAAGGGCCAATTTCTCCCGTCTTTTTTCAAGGACATAAATTTTTTCCTTGTTTTTCTCTGCTGTTTCTTGGTATTCCTGGGATAAGGAGAAAAAACAAACAAAACCAGAAGTATTAACTAGAAGATATTTTTTTAAAATAACAAAATATTTTTTACCTAGACAAAAGCTAAAAGACTTTTTTTTTTTTTTCAGATTCGAATAACACATTAAAGGAACAAAAATTATTAGTAATGACTGTCAAAATATCTCTCCTAGCAGTTACAGAACCAGATATATGAAAACAAATCAATAGTATAAGGAAAATTTGCACAATCTCTAACTACAAATGGACTCCAGATTTCTGATGATAATCCACTAGTACTGCAATAGCCCACAGAAGGTCCAACAGTACCTGGTTGTCCACAACAGTTTTATGAGTTGGCTTAACAATAAGCAATTACATGCTCCAATTTCAGAAACAACACTGCTCTTCAAAGCAGAAAAGAAAGTTAGTGTAAGAGAGAGGAAAAAAAGAAGGAAAACTCTGGAAGATAAACCTAGACAGATTGGCAGCAGCTGGGAAAGGGGAAGTAAAGGTGATCGCTTAATTACTTTGTAATCAACCCCCTACTTATATATTCACAGATTAATTACGTCTCATACAAAATTGAGTTTTCAAAAGAACAGTGTAATACAGATATTTTTATTTTGACTAGTGCCATTACAGATTTTTTTCAACTTGCAGACCATTTTCTTTTCCTCTATCGGCCTTAAAAC